GAGCATGCACTCACCAGACAGACAGAGAGAGACAGAGAGATAGAAAGCAAGAAATCACCCCCCAGGGAGGATGGCCACGCCGCAATCCCTTCTCCTCCATTCTCCTCTCGGGATCTTGGGCACGCACGCACACACGCCTGGCGTGAGTTTAAGCCACCAGGTCTGGGACTCGAACCGCAGTTGACTACGTGGGAGTCCAGTGACATAGCCATTACGCTAACTGCTGGTCCCTCTTTCTCTTCTTCTCTTAGGCATTTGCACATGCCCTCTGACATATAAAAAACAATAAATGCACAATAACAGAAAATGCGCCATGAGTGTACATGTTCTATATCAAATACCTTAGTGGTTTAGCTTTATTTTATTTATAAGCTTCTTGGAATATTTATAAGTGAACTTTTGCTTTTATAACCATTAAGTTATCTTGATTTTTCAAGTTTAATAAATAATTCCTAATGTTAAAAAGTCCTGGGCCAGCAGGTAGCATGGAGGTTAAGGCAGCTGAATCTCACACAGTCAACTCTGCAGTTTGAGTCCCTGACCAATGACTTAAGAAACATACCAGGCACGAGTATTTGTGTACCCAAAATCCTGGGAGGAGAATAGAGAAGGGATCATGGTATGGCCATCCCCCTCTGGGGGGTGATTTCTCACTTTCCCTCTCTGTCTCTCTCTCCATAGTGAGGGGGAAAAAGAGTCTTAAAGTAATCTTCTGGGCTATTTCTGTCAAATTTTAAGAGGGATGCCAATAAATTTTGCTATATCCTTAGACATTACAAAATATATATGTGTGTGTGTGTGTGTGTGTGTGTGTGTGTATACACTTAATTTGCCTGCCAGCATAGTGTCTGGCATTCAATATTTAATGAATTAATTATGGTATAGAAGATAAAATAAAAATTTCAACTTCACTAATCTAAGCTTAATACTTAAATACAAAAATATAATTCTGATCAAATTGCTAAAATTTCTTACTTTATTTCTTTTTTCTTTGGTGGAGTGAATATCAAGAGACATCTTGGACTAGTGAGATATATCAGAATTTTGGGTGGGAAGGAAAAATTATATTACGTACCTGGTCACTTATTTTAAATCCACCTGAGCAAAATTTTGTCTGATGAGAGATTTTACTCATAGAAAGGGTTATATGGTTGTATGAAAGGTATAGAGGCAGAAAATAGGTTGTCGATAAGCTCTGCAGTGGGACAGACTAACTCTTCATTGTCTCATTCTAAGATTCTCATGCTCTTCTGGGGCCAGCAAGTGGTGTGGGGTTAAGGGCGCTGGCCAATTGCATTTCAAGCCTCGGACCTAGTAGCTCGCTTTCTCACTTTGTGTGTTTCTCTCTCTGTCCCTCTCTGGTCAAATTAAAATAAATAAATAAAGTTAAGTTAAAAAAAAAAAAAGTTTCTTGTGCCCTTCATGAAATGATCTTTACAAAAAAATGTTTATTTTGTTCATGATAGAAGGTACAGGCCCACACAGTACAGGGAGAGAGGGGTTTCTTCACACCGTGATCCCTTTTCCCATCTCGCTAGCTCTTCAGAATCTTGGGCATATGTGCACAAGCTCAGCATGTTTTCAGGCTGAGCCTGGGATTTGAACTGCAGGCAACCGTATGACTTCAAACAGTGCGGTTCAATTTGCTACCAACTGTACCACCAGGCTGGGCCAAGAAATGACTTTTTATTCAACCTAAATAAAGCCAAGGTCACGCTTTTAATAAGAGCTTTTTTGAAGTTCAGCTTACGTATTTTACATTAGTGGATTTTACAGTTCAGTGGTTTTAGTATATTAGCCATGTTGCATAACTACCATCACTGTCTAATTCCAGAGTATTTTCAGTACCCCAAAAAGAAATCTGATACCTACTGGCAGTCCCTCCTCATAGTGTGTCCCCCACCCCCGACCCTGGCAACTACTGATCTACTTTCTATCTCTACTAATTTGACATTTCAGTAAAAGGAATCAGACGATATATGATCCTTTATCACTTACTATGGTGTTTTCAGGTCCAGCCATCTTGTAGAATGTGCCAGTACCTTATTCTTTTTTACTACTGAATAACACTCTAGCTGTTCACTTTTACAGGTTGTGCCAACCATTTTGGAGAAATTCAAGGAGAAGAAGCCTCAAGTAGTCCAAGCCCTGCAGGAGGCGATCGACGCCATCTTCCTTACTGTGAGTTGGCAGTGTGTTGCGGCTTTACCTGAAGTAAATTCTGTGATTCAGTGTTTGATTGTTCTTTACAATTGAGACAAGCTCACTGACCACATTTTCTTTTTGCAGACCACACTACAGAACATCAGTGAGGACATTTTAGCAGTAATGGATAATAAAAACCCAACCATCAAGCAGCAGACATCCCTTTTTATTGCCAGAAGCTTCCGCCACTGCACTGCTTCTACTCTGCCAAAGAGCTTGCTGAAACCCTTTTGTGCTGCTCTACTTAAGGTATAGACTTGCTTTGAAATTTGGGGAATATTTTATACTTGGTAAGGTACTTTTTTCTGTAACAGCTACTTGACTTTCATAATCTCTGAAAATCATTTGCGATCTATTGAAGAGCAGACCCTCTGCAGCCTTAGAAAATGAATTCAAATTTGAATTGTGTTGCTTCTTGAAAGAAAGCACAAATTAGTTTTATGATACCAGTAAGTGCTAAACATTTATTTAAAACTTTAGCTATTTATTTCTTCCCACATGGTTGGGGACATCTCTAACAGGGTCCTCCCACTGCAGTCCACCCCTGTCCTCCACCAGCTGGGATCGCAGGCATGTGCATGTGCCTGGTGTGTACTGCAAGGCCTCATACTTCGAAGCTGGGACTTGCCCACATGGCAAGTCCACTCGGCATCGTGGAGCGTTGCGTTGTACTGTTATCCCACCGTGACTGGCCTGCAGAACGTTTTTTCTTACTTGGCCATGTACATCATGATGTTGAGCTGGCTCTGACGAAGCACAGGTGTCAGAAATGCAGAACTGGCAGATAATTTGGGAGTTAGGCATTTTATGTAGAGGGTAAGAGGGAAAGGAAACACTTGCTTGAATGGATTACCAGAGGATTCCTTAGCCCAGAAAGAATTTATGAAAGAGTAACTATTAATTGGCAAAAGGAAAGCTACGGTTAGCTTCAATAAATTGTAAGTAGCCAATTTGTTACCTCACAGTTGTCAGTCTGAATTAAAACCAGTGATACCTAAAGTTCCTAATATTAAGATAATTTTTACTTACTTCTGGACCATAGCACATCAATGATTCTGCTCCCGAAGTCAGAGATGCTGCCTTTGAAGCATTGGGTACGGCTTTGAAGGTGGTTGGTGAGAAAGCTGTGAACCCATTTTTAGCTGATGTGGACAAGCTCAAGCTTGATAAGGTATGTTAGTGATGGATTATAACGAAATTGGGTAATAGACCTCTCTCTTTGGATTATGGTATTGTCTCTTGGAAATTAGAATACCAGTATCCTTTTGATCAGGAATTCTCAATGTTGTATTACTACTCCGAGTAGGAAAGAAACTTTACATTACACACACGCACACTCACTCACTCACTCAGTTGAAACACATTTTGGAGAATGCTCTCTGGTTTTTGTTTTGTTTTATTTTCAAGTTTGTGTGTTCTACTTCATTAAGAAGAAAATGCTAATATCAGTATCAACTCAAGAAACTTACTTTATTCCCCATTGGTGGTTCAGACCTACAGTTTGAAAACATAACTTCTAAGGATTTAAGTTTCTTCCTAGGCTAACATGCTAATATTAGTAGAAGTATCTTGTAAATTATAATTTAAAAAACTGAATGACCAATCTGTAGAAAAAAATTAAAATGATTTTGTGAGACCTAGTTTGTATCTAATAATAGTGTCTGGAAGTTTTACCTTTCTTAAATATAAATGTCTTTTATTAAAAACATGATCATTGTTAAGCATATTCTAACTTGTGAAGAAATAAAATGTAAAACACTTTGCTTAATGCCAAGCGTATCTGGATAATTTATTTTTGTTGAAAACAAAACTTTCTCTCTGAATTCTCATGGATATTTGTGATATAGAAATGACTTACTATAATGACTTACTATAATAATGTGTCTGAGTTGGGCTAATGATATTCATCTTATTTTCATTCTTTAGATCAAAGAATGTTCAGAAAAAGTCGAACTGGTACATGGTAAGAAAGCTGGACTAGCAGCTGATAAGAAGGATTTCAAACCTGTACCTGGAAGGACTGCTGCTTCAGGGGCTGCGGGAGATAAAGATGTGAAGGACATTTCAGCACCCAAACCAGGACCCTTAAAAAAGGCACCTGCTGCTAAGGTTAATTGATGCTTTAAAAATTAGATTTTTGGGGCGAGGTTTTGCCTTAAGTTGCATGCACTCACCAGGAAAGACAGATAGAGAGAGGGAAAGTGATAAATCACCCCCAGAAGGGATGGCCGCGCCTCAGTCCCTTCTCCTCCATTCTCTTCCCGGGATCTTGGGCACACACACATGCCCGGTGTGATTTTTCAAGCCACCGGGTCCAGGACTTGAACTATGGTTGACCATGTGGGAGTCCAGCGACATAGCCGCTATGCCATCTGCTGGCCCCAATATTAGAATTTATTAAGGTAATGTCCAGGTCTCAGGTTTGTAGTTGTTCTTCCAACGTGATTTCATTTAAAAAACGAATTTATCGACTGCACTGAAAGTAGAGCATAGGATTTACCCTGTAGAGCACCAGTTAAGTGCTGTGCAGAGGGAGCTAAATCCCGCGTGGCCTACATGGTTCAGCCTCGGCAGTTTAAAAAACACACTGGACACATGAACACATACCCAGCATCCTGACAGGATGGAGGGTGGCAGTGCGACCAGGCCCCACTAGGGTGGCTTTCCCTCTTTCTCTCTTTCATATGTACTTACACATCCCTATGACATTAAGATAAGTAAATAATTAAAGAAAACACAGCAGAACAACTGCTAATGAAAAGTATTCCAACAGTTGGCTATTTGAAACTATGGTTGAGGTGAAAATGGTGATGAAGGTACACGTTGCTGGTTTTTATTCTCTCTGATTTTTTTTTTTTATTGTAAGATAAAACATAAAATGTACATTCTCGGGACCAGCAGTTAGCGTAATGGCTATGTCACTGGACTCCCAAGTAGTCGACCACAGTTCACATCCTGGACCTGGTGGCTTAAAACCCATGCCGGACGTATGTGCATGCGTGCCCAAGATCCTGAGAGGAGAATGGAGGAGAAGGGATTGCGGTGTGACCATCCCCCCAGGGGGTGATTTCTCACTTTCTGTCTCTCGGTCTTTGTCTGTCTGGCAAGCACATGTACCCTATAGCAAAAAAAAAAAAAATTGTACATTCTTAACCATTTGTAAGTACAGCACATGTACCCTATAGCAAAAAAAAAAATTGTACATTCTTAACCATTTTTAAGTATACAGTTCAATGGTATTACAGTCAAAAGTGCAGCCATCACCACCATCCATCTCTGACCAAAACTAGACCATACAGTGATTGGCACTACTATTGTTTAATAATGGTCTGCAGTTAAGTAAAGGAATAACGTCGGGAACCAGCAGTTAGCGTAATGGCTATGTCGCTGGACTCCAAAGTAGTCGACCGCGGTTCGCATCCCAGACCCGGTGGCTTAAAACTCATGCCGGGCACGTGTGCATGTGTGCCCAAGATGCCGAGAGGAGAATGGAGGAGAAGGGATTGCGGTGTGACCATCCCCCCTGGGGGGTGATTTCTCGCTTTCTATCTCTCTGTCTCTCTCTGTCTGTCTGGCGAGTGCACGTGCCCTATAGCAAAAATCTCTCAAAAAAAAAAAAAAAAAGGAATAACGTAAAAGGTATTAATATGGGGGTGGGAGAAAAAAGTTATCTTTTTTATAGGTTATATAATTAATTATACTTAAAACTCAAGTCAACTGGAAAACTAAAACAATATGAAGGCTTGATTAGATTGCTGTCTTCATCATAACTGGAATGATAACTGAGGTTACTGTGATAACTTCTCTTTTCCTTTGCAAATTACATAGTTATAACAATTAATATATCCTTTTTTTTTTTTTTTAATAGATTTTTGCCATGGGGCACGTGCACTCACCAGAGAGAGAGAGAGAGACAGTGAGAAATCATCACTTCCCTGGAAAATAGTCACATCACAATCCCTTCTCCTCCATGCTCCTGGAATTTTGGGCATGCACGCACATGTGATCAGCCTAATTTTGAAGCTTCCAGGTTCAGGACTTCAACCAGGGCTGTTCAGCACCTTAACCACCATGGCACCCACTGGCCTCAACAAATAATATATTCTAATGAGAACCTTAGAGTTCAGTAATGAGAAATGTCATAACTTAGAAATTACTTTTTTTTACCAATATAGGAAAGATACAGAGAAGTTTAAAGGTATCTGGATATCATTGTCAGTCTGTAATTATAAGTATAGACTAATCCTTCATTTCTTCTTCTTCTTTTTTTTTTTTTTTTAAGTTTTTCTTTTTTTTAGGTTTTTGCCATAGGGCAGGTATGGTTGCAGGAAAAAGACAGAGATAAAGAGGGAAGGTGAGAAATCACCCCTGGGAGGGTATGGTCATGCCGCAGTCCTTTCTTCTCCATTTTCCTCTCAAGATCTTGGGCATGTATAATCAAGTACCCAGAGTGATTTTCAAGCCACCTAGTCCAGGACTCAAACTGTGGTCGGCCATGTGGGAGTCCAGCACCTTAATCACTACACCACCTATTGGCCCCAGTACATCGTTTTTGTTTCACTTATGTTATTAGCTTGTTCTGAATTAGTGGTTCTTTATATGGGTCTGCAGATTACCCTAGGGATGGTATTCCAGAGGTCTCTCTGCTCTTGAAACTGGGCAAAATCCTGTGGGCATGAAAACTACATTTTTCTTTCTTTTTTTTTTTCTTTTTTTTTGGGGGGGGTAATCCCTAATTTCGATAAAAATTTTAACTGGGATCTGTGACACCCATCAAAGAACCATTGTTTTAAACCCTTAAGTAGTTTTAATTTTTAAATATTGCTTTTAGGCCGGCGGACCACCTAAGAAGGGAAAACCAGCTGCACCAGGAGGCCCAGGGAGCACAGGAACCAAGAGTAAGAAAGGATTGGAGACCAAAGAGATAGTGGAGCCGGAGCTCTCGGTACGTCCATTTACTTTCAGTTAAGAGATTTTAGCATTCTTGTCATCTTTTTTCTTAAGCAATTCCTAATTTTAGTGTATGTTTGTACCTCACAGATAGAAGTATGTGAAGAAAAAGCTTCAGCTGTCCTTCCCCCTACCTGCATCCAGCTGTTAGACAGCGGTAACTGGAAGGAGAGGCTGGCTAGTATGGAAGAGTTCCAGAAGGTAGGTGCACGAGGATGAAGTGTGAGAGAAACAGGCTCTACAGAAGCAGCGAGACTGGCAAACGAAGGCTTTATCTTCACTGCCGTTTTCTACAGCTATAAACCTGTTTTGTAGTGTTAAGTCAGGATGAAATGGGTGTTTTTGTAGCTGTGTGGTTTTCGCTGTCGTTTAACATCTGCATTTTACGGCTTTTGTAAGCTTATAAGTTAGTACTCAAGAAAATTAGGCTCTTCTGAATTATAAGGCTTAGATGTGTTTTTAAATGATGGTTCTTGCTCATAAACTTACTAAGCAAGCAGATCTCTCTACTTAAACCACCCCTCATTCATTTCTGTTTCCTCCTTTGTCATCATAATTCGTTGGTAGAACAGACTTTATCTTTTTGGCAGTAGAAGCTCTTAAAAATCTGCCTTGGAAAAGTGCATGTTAGGCCATTTTGGCAGGTACTATGCAAGTCTAATGAGGAAGGGTATGGAAAGACTGGGAAGGCACTGGGAATGGAGGCAGGAGCCTTCCCGTCCTGCGGCTGGCACCCATTGGGGTTGGATCTGTGGTTGA